TCAAGGCAAGGCAAGAACAAGCAATGAATCAAGCAAAATCCCATGGTACTGAAGTACTACGTAGTAAGACGAACTGTATGTTTGAATATCCTGTACTACTCTGGTCCACAATGATCGTTACAGTTTCGTTTTATTGGCGGAATTTTTCTAAAACACCTCGGATAGCACTTCTGATTGGTTCTTTAGACAGCGCAGGATCTCTTTGATTGGACGCATTGTGAGTGCAAAAACTCATTATGGTTCAAAAGTTATGAGGCGGGAAAAATGCCAACGAGTGCTTGAGGCATCAAATTCTTGCGCCAGATAGTCATAACTCAATTTGACACCCAGTCGACTGCACCTTCTGTACTACAGTGTTGATCTATGCCATCACCCACGACCACACACTCAGCATCAAACCTGGGCCGAGCAAGTCACCTACGAAATCTCTCCGAGGACGAACGCCGCGGAGCTTACGAGATGCTTCTCGCACGCATGCACCACGACCAGCTACCATATGGTGCAGTATCTGATGTGGCTCGGCACTTTCAGTGCCACAGGGTTACCATATCGCGACTCTGGAAACGTGGACGACTCTCTCTCCTCCACGGCGCTCCGATGGCGGACATCGCTGCCAAAATTCGAGGTATGACCTCTATAAATTTATATATGAATGAAATGAAAACCATGCATTTCGAGAAGTATGCAATTTTAAAGGATTACTGTTTTAGGCAATTCTGGGTCGAAAGCTCGGCGATCCGCCGAAGTAATTGAAGCGACGATTAAGGCCGTGCCCCAAAAAGATCGCCAAACACTGCGCTCCCTGGCCGCACACAGTGGTATACCCCCAAGACGACCATCATGCGCCACATGGCAGCAAACAAGAAGCTGATGGCGCGATCAAGCCATGTTAAACCATTCTTGACGGACGCAAACAAGACCGAGCGCCTGCGCTTTGCGATGAATTTTCTCTTGCCTGGGTCAAAAGGGAGACACTTCTTTGACAATATGTACAATCAGGTACATATCGATGAGAAGTGGTTCTTTTTGACTCAGGTTAAGAGAAAATTCTACGTATATCGCCCAAAAGGGACTCTTGTTGTCACGCCGCAAATTGTCGATTCACAGGTCTATTTCGACTGTGTTGTGAACAATGTGGTGCCTGCAATTGTGGCGAAATTCCCCCAAGGTTGTCTGCATCGAGGTGTTCAAATTCATCACGATAATGCTG